TGTAATTTAAGGTCTGTTGACACTCTTGGTATAGAAGTTAAGACAGTCTCCCATTGTCTAGGCAATATAAAAACCTCTAATTCTTTATTCCACTCATCCCTTTGCATCTGCATATCAAACTTATTTATTGATAACAAATATCTATACAAACTAATAGTAGGTTTTTTAGTTTTGAAGGATTTAAGAAGTTGTTCTAATATCTCAGGTGTCTCAGAAGCTGAAAAAGCTGCTGGTTCAAACAATGTTGTTAACAAATGTAATTGTAAATATTGCCATTGGGTTACTTCTGGTAGATGATATTTATCTCTTAACACAGCATACATTAAAAATTCATCTTCATCCTCTATCAGTTGGCCCAAAGTCTATATCAAATCTGTTGCTATGTGAGTCTTGAAATACACAGAAAGGTATTTCATTGGTGAGCTTTTTCTTGCTCACTATTTCCCACATTCCATAAAATCTAATTCTCAAGATAGCAGTGTGCAAATGAAGTGTTATCTCCAAGTGGCTATTAGATGATAATGTTCAGAGTCACTTATTGGTAAGAAGGCAAGTGAAATATGTACATTTCATAGCTGTTCAATCATTGGTTTGGATTTGCTCATGCAAAAAAATCATTTGAGGAGACATTTAGTCTCTTCTTGGCCATCCTGTTTTGGGCCTTGAGTTGAGGCTCAGTACTTTTCTCTGCATTGGTATGCAAAATTCATCACTGAAATTCTGAAGCCTTTAATTAGCAAAAAGTAGCAGTGAGGTTTCTGCTAATAAGAACCAAGATGCCAAACTGTTTTCTAAGAGATAATAGAAAAGCCATTGTGGCATTTTTAGAAATACGTTGCAGTTACAAACTTTGCACCAGCTGACAGATGGGGAGGGGTTTTTCTTACATATGGAAAACCAAGGATTCTGTGTGTTTCTCCTCATGAATAAGATAATTCCATAGTGGAATACAAAGTTTGACACGATTATTAAATGTTTCACTTTATTGCTGCAGCTGAAGTTTATTCTCGGTTGGGTTCTTCTTACCCACTCTAGCAGGCAGGCCCAAAGAATGTTCTTCTGGGATCCACAAAGTAAAGTAGAGAACAGCCATTTAGTTCTTTGGTCTTACCAGCTGTGGTTAGTGTGTCGCTTTAGTTATTCTTCTGTTAATGAAGAATTGTTAATTAACACCCTAGCCATTATTTGCAAGATTTTTGCAAATTAGAAGCTCTTGATTAATAGGGGCTGCTATCACTGGGATTCACTCTTTGAACTAAGCTTCGCAGCCTCCCTGCCATTCATCCCAGGCACTTTCCGTAGCTGAGCGCCATCAGTGCCATTTTCCCAGAAGTGAAAGATTGTCTCCAGTCCCTTCAGAGAACCATGTGTCCACATATCAGAGGGGATGGTCAACAAAATACAAGGTAGAACATTCTTTTTCCAGGAATGGATTAGGCCATCCTCTACCCAGACTTCAGTTGTTGGCCTAAAACAGTGATCATCATTGAGCTTCTTCAGCTCCCTAAGCCTTGAAGCAAGGCTCCCCTACAGCAGGAGAGTTAGACATACAGTATGTCTGTCTACATAGCAGCCTCAGTCTTTTCCAGTCCCCTCAGATTCTTCCAGCAAAAGAAGCTGATAAGAATACCCTATTTGTCTGGATCTGTGTTGGATCCCAGTGGGCTGGGGGAAAAAAAAAAGATTGGGATAACTTTTGACACACTTGCCTAGATATGTGCCAGAGGAGAAACCTCAGATTATATTTTTGGGCCCTTAGGTGCTGACACTGCCAATGATTCCCTCCCGAAGGCCTTTTGATGTGAAAAATGAGGAGGAAGAAGTGGCTTCTATATTGCTCTTCTCCCACAGTGTTTCATGAATGGCCAAGAAGATCCATAAGATCATTGTACCCAAGGGAACCTAATCTCTAGCTTTGGTACATAAATAAGTTTTACAGTTCACAAGGAGTCCATGGAATGCTATCTGCTTTGATAATCTTATATCAGAAGTATATTGAAGCATACGCTTTTGGTTATTTTGTGTTCCAATTCACTGGGAACCTATTTGCATGTATTAAAAATAATCCAAATTAAAGGTTACTGCTTTGTACTTCCTTGCCATTCAGCAGAGTTCAAGGCACCATGTTCATCTTCAGACCCAGTGGGGAAAAATAAGACATTGTTATGTAGTGGCATATTTTTCCAGTATGATTTAAACAACAAACTAAAAAGAATTCAAACTTTGATATATACGGGGGCTGTCCAACATCAGTGGTGCAGTGGTTTTACATTGAAAATCACAAATGGCATTATATGTAATGTTCTGTTTTATACAGGTTAAACACATCCTTTTGTTGCAGTTGTGTGTGCTCAGCATCGAAGGAAAGGTTAGAAGATTTTTAAATTACAGAATTTAGAAGATAGAAACAAAAATCATATACAGCTCCTTGCTGTAGTTCTGAATAATTGTTCCTTGTGCTGGGATCTCAAAATGCAAATCATCTCATGTAACTAGGCACTGCTAACAGTATATAGAGAAATATTCTTGTGGGCTTTGACAACTTTTGATTTTCTTTCATCCTGAGTTATGTCAGAGCCATTTTCTGACATCTTTCAAAGGTGATGTAAGAGTTTTGTATTAGGCCAAGCCTTTAATGGCCAGGGATAAGCAAGGGTTTATTTTAGAGAATGTGTTTGTCCTTGTTGATAGGATGGGTTATAAATCAAGTAACCTAGCATTCAACATGCAAGGAATATAAGTGAGCACAGCCTGCCAATCTAGAAAGATAAGGTTAGTTAGCTAAATCCCAGGGGTTTATGGAAGTGAACAGTGCTACAGATTTTGTGTAAAGTGAAAAAAGCTAGTTATCATCCATAACCATCCATCATGCTTAGGTCATTATCATCTATCATGCCTAGGTCATAAAAGCATGATTTGCAGCTTATGGTTGGCTGTGTTCAAAAGAAGGGGCAAAAAGCCAAAATACTGATAGCATGGCATTGTCTTGTTTGTTAAAATGAATAAATATCAACACTTAATGAAATTATTTGCATCTAATCAGCTTAGTTTCCCATATTTGGGCTTGTTGAGCTTCCGAACCACCTGTTTATTTTTATTCATAATTTTCAACATTTTTTCCACATTCCCATAAAAATTAGTATGTTCCAACATACATTTGTATATGCTAAACCTTGGTTACTAATAAATTGGAATACAGGTAGTCCCTGGGTTAAGAACGCCTGGGTTACAGACTACCCAGACTTAAAAACAGAGCCTATTGTGACAAAATTCAAATTAAATACACAATGATTCAAGTTAAGTTCACAACAGTACTTACACAGTATTATACAATAAAACTGTTCCGACTTACAAATTCGACTTAAGGACAGACCTTGGGAACAGAACTCATTCTTAAACTGGGGGCTACCTGTGTGTGTGTGTGCACACACGCGCATGCTTTTCAGATGTAACAGTTTTTGTACAAAAA